TAAAGGGGGCCTATAGGAAAGATGGGGAACGTCTTTTTAGTAGGGCCAGCTGTGTTAGGACAAGGGGAAATGGTTTTAAACTAAACCAGGGTAAGTTTAGACTAGATATAAGGAAGAAGTTCTTTACACTGAGGGTGGTGAAACCCTGGAACAGGTTGCCCAGAGAGGTAGTGGAGGCCCCATCCCTGGAAACATTGAAGGCCAGGTTGGATGGGGCTCTGAGCAGCCTGATCTGGTTAGCGGTGTCCCTGCTCCTGCAGGGGGGTTGGACTAGATGACCTCTAGGGGTCCCTTCCAACCCTAAACATTCTATGATTCTATTCTATTTCATGCACGGCATGTAAGTGCACATTTCCATATGGTAAATCCATGCTCCCTACTGCATCTGAAGGTAGAAACATCTGGAATCAGATGGGTACCACCAGAACAAGTCATCCAGTTGATTCCTACCATCTTTCATAAGTGTTTTGCAGAAGTAGTCAACAAGACTCGTAGGCATGAAATCTTCTGGTGGATGGAGCCCGCCTGTAGCTACCTCCTTCCCAAAGAGCTGTCTGGTCAGTTCTTCCTCCTGTCAGTGTGTGGGCCTTCACTGCAATATCAATGCTGTGTTTGGGACAGATGACAGGGAGGGGGCCAGGGTCAGATATCTGGGCAAGATGGTGACCAAATGTGGGTTGTTGCCCAGAGTTAGCTCTTTGCTTGTTTCTGAGAAGTTCTTGAAAACAGGGTGACTGGGTGGAGGCTGCTAACAAGATAAAATAATCCCAGAGGGTTAGCTGTAACCTGTGGACTCTTGGTTAGAAATCCTTGGTTTTAATATGAGTCTTTCTCTCTATGCATGTTTATGCAAAATAATTCCTTTTCTGGCAACCATTGCTTGCTGCACCATTTGCTATGCTGTTGCCCATTGTTTGATTTCTTTTTCACTTGTATTCAACCTTTTTCCTGGTGTTTGGATTACTGCTGGGTTTTTTTGGTTCAGTCTCTATGTTAGGTCTGATGTGTATAATTTTTATTTTTTCATCCTAGTGTTTTCAGTTTTTGTAGCTCTTTTCTGTTACATCAAAAGTCAACAGTTTGATTAAGTTCCAACTGTTGTAGCATATGTAGTCTGGCTTCATTATCTTCTGTTGCCTCAAACTGTAATCTCTCAAAAAATTTACCAACAAGCATGCCAAATGTGCATGAGGGTTGAATGATGTAGATCCGTGGGTATTATTTTGATACACTGAAAATACCCGTCTCATTTTTAGGGATAAGTGAGTACAATTTGTATGACGGTACTGATGCTGACAGGTCAGGTGGCTGTACATGACTTGTTACCCTAAGCTCCTCAGCCAATCAGTGGAGATCTGCTTAGTGTAATCTCTAGCATTTTTAAGCAGGAACCATCTCATCATATGTACCTGCTCTGGAAAGATGAATTATGCTGACAACTCCCCTGAATATTGGCTATATATGTGTATTCCTGTGGACACACTCATACACACTACGTTGACTATAAAGCGAGTGACTAGCCTGTGTGACTACATGGGCTATGCATGTAAGGTTAGGTGAGATGAATCCTACTCAAACATTCAAAATTTTAGTTAAAGCTTTGTCAATCCTCTGCTAGGTCCAGGCAACCCAGCAGGCAGTCTTTTCCTGCTATCCCTGCTCAGAACCTTCACTCTGAATTTGCTGCTTTCTTTATCTACTGCTGGCACTAAAGACTCTGCATTGCCTCAAGTCTGGTCTGTCAGCCTTCAGATCAGCTGCTTGTCTCTATTTTTCTGTGAACTGCATTATGGTTCTGGGTTGAAAATACTAGTACTATACTAAGTAGGACAGAGTGGGCCCTTAGTGCTCAAGGACATGGCATGTGCCTCTCAATTCTTTTTGTATGAAGAGACAAAAAATAGCAGAAGGGAGATGAGCTGCACCGATGCTATGGTTTTGAGGTAGTGCTGCAAAAATCAATTATGTAGTTGTTTAAGAGGGGCAGAAACAAAACTGAAACATATTCCTCCAAGTATTTCCCTTCCATTCCCACTTTTTTTTGAGACCAGATGGGTTCACTGGCAATATTTATAGCACAGTCCAGAAACAGTTGCAGTGGTATAGCTGAAGGGGCAGTCTGTTGTAGCAAGAAACAGGAGTAAGACTGAACGTGGAAAGGAATCTCTCAGGCCAGCCTTGTTTCTGCGGGGAATATTTTATGTGAAACTAAGCTGTGGACAGTGCAGATACTGCTGAACTAGTTATTAACACTCAGGAAAAGCACCTGAGATTTCCCAGGCTCAAAGAAGAATGTAGTAGACTTCAGAAACTGTTAAGAGTTGTGTGACGAGAGTGAGCAAAGACCTTCCTGTGGAAGTATTTCTGTGCAAGCCATGCAGCACAGAGTAGGATTCTTCTACCTGAGAAGAGGTGACCAGATGGAAGTATGGAAAATACAAATAGAGGGCTGAAGTTTGTTTTCTCCTCTTCCATAAGAATTAGGTGGCATCAAGTAGATCTAGAAGTTGTCAAGTTTAAAACAATTATTTTTCTTTGCAGTGAATATTTAACCCTTGAGACACATTTGCTGCAAGATGATGTAGGTATAAAACTCTCTGGTTCAGACAGATGCATTCCTGAGAGAAGAAATATGCTAGGGTGTTAAGGGTCTGGGCGAGTAACTCGGAAGTATCAGTGTATTCTTGCCCTATTCTTATGCTTTTCCATATGTCCATAAGCCGTGTTGGGCAGGTGAACCTGTGGTCTGACCCAGCACAGCTGCTGTTTGCTTCAGTGAAAAAAACCAGCTGCTGGCAATTGCATGTTGTTCTGATATCTACCCTAATATAGCTGTTCAAACAAATGTTTTAAGTTTGTAGTATACCAGCAGTCTGGTCATTAAATCTTTGTCAATATTTGGTTTAGTAAATAATTTTACATTTGTTTTCATGTGCCCTGGAGGATTCTGCTGATGGATTGAAATAATTGATACTTACAGGAACTAAATTCATGATGAAGTAACAGTGAAGCTTTCTAGATAACTGGTTTTGTGCTGCTGTTTCATGCTTCCTCAACTTGTGTGAAGATTAATTTGAGGCCAAGACTTCCTTTTTCATTTCTTCTAAGTAGCAGGTGGACCGCTTTGTAAGATTGCTTCTCCTACTGTGCGTGCATGTGTATGTGTCAGTAGACAAAGCCACTAAAAACTTAGTTTCCTGGCAAATGGAATATTTAGAGATTCATGCTGGTTGTAGAATAACATGGTAATAGTGGTAGTCTCATGCTGTTTTGGGTTAAGAACAAGTAGAGTGATCTGTGTTAAACACGGAGTGGTTGGCTCAGTTCACAGAGTTGTGCATGTCTCTAGTATGTACACAACTGTTTTCTTGCTGCTTCCCTTTTCTCGTGCACTTGCTAAGGTCCCACTGGCAATCAGGAAAGTTTGCACTTGGATAAACTGGAAACTGCAGAGGGATTTTTTCAAGATCCCCTCCTCATATCTACCAGATGAGAAAGAGGCAAAATTTTTTTAAGAGGTTGAATTGCCTGGACTTTGTCTTGCCAATTCATTCTTTTTCAGCACAGTTGGAAGCTGGTTGCGTGGGGGTCGTCTTGGTGTGTGTATTTAGGATTTTTTAAAATTGATTTTATAGAAATTAATTGTAAACCTGAACTCCAAAATAAAATACTCCATTTTCAAGCTGTGCTCTAGCATAACCAAGCTTCTCTTAATGAATGCTGCCACATCTATGGAACAGTGAAGATTTTTTTTTTCCATCATAAAGAAGTAAAAGGTGGTATTTCATTACATTAAACATACACAATTCCTTACCTTCAATGTTTATGTAACTGAGAAACTTGAAATACTGTATTTTAGTGACATGAAAGGAAGCCATCCTTGTCTGTCATACGCATGAAGCAGGCTGAAGAAGGACCTCACACAACCGTCTTGCTTTTCTAGAACAGTTTTTAAGCATTTCCATATTACTTTGCTTTGTCTTCATTACTTCATTTTACCTACATCTGGAGTTTTGAAAATTGTGGAACTGCACAACTCTGATAGGGTTCTGTAGTCAGAATTATAAGGTAAAGTATCTGTATGGGAAGCAGCTATAGGCTTTGCGTTGTATGTTTCTGCATTCCTTTCAGATGATGTATATCTGCCATTAACTCTTTCTGATGCTGTGATTACACTTTTATGTTGACTGGCAAAATTCATTTAGTGCTCTTTCTTTTCAAGCTACTGAGGCACCTTTTCTGTCCCCAGAGATTAATATATGACAAATGACAAACGTTTTTGACACCTGTATGTTTTCCGTCCTCTTCCCTGCTATTATTCATAATAATGACTGTGTGCTACATCTGCGTATCAGTGATTATAAAAATATCTCCTGGCTACTTATAGTTCAGAGTGCAGTTTGAAACTGTGACTCAGCTTCATATACCGTGATTCAGGTGACTTATTGACTCCCAAACACTGTAAGACCAACTTCTGTGTATTATTTTTATTTACAAAGTATTCTTCATTGTATTCTGTCTTCCTGAGCTATGTACAGTGTTTCTGAATGACCGATACACTACTTTGGCCTTTATAAATACTGAGGTGTCCACTATGCAACCTAAATTCAGTTTTTATCTCAAAGTGTTTCTACTCATTAGTTTTCTGGGAATATATGTTGGTCATTCTGAACGGAATCACCCTGTTTGTTTTTTCAACATAATTTTGAAACTGGACAAATACTGCAAGAAGAGTTTTGAGGAATTAGAGTAATTTCAATTTGAATCTGTGTTTATACAATTATAATACCAGAAAGCAATGCGTATAGTTTTGTTCTCTAACAATATTTGTTCTGTCTCCACCCTGAGAGAAGGTATATAGATTTCTGAAGTTGTACAGATGTATAATAATGCAAAATAAATGCTCAGTTATAAAATTATATTCTGAAAAGAATAAGTAATTTGCCTTTAATAAAATACTTTTTAAAAGTCTCTGATAAGTATTCTTTTTTTCTTGACAGTCTGTGGTGGACGACTGGATTGAATCATATAAACAAGACAGGGACATAGCACTTCTGGATTTAATCAACTTCTTTATCCAGTGTTCAGGATGTCGAGGTACAGAACGTTGGAAACGAGTTGTATAGAATAAACCTGACAGTCATACAAACGTGTATTAGTGCAAATGCTGGTAAAGATGTGGGAGGCACTTGGATTGGTACTCCTCATATGCATGGTTTATATAGAAATACTGTCTACGTTCAGGAATAATTTTATTTAAAGCTTGTTTGTCAAGGGCCTACCCTTTCTTTTTCTCACTTTCCTGTCATCCTAAAGCGTACAAATCCTCACAGAGACACTCTACTCGTCAGCAAAAGGAGACAAAAGATCTGTCAATCAAGGTAGGCGTATCTTTACTTCCCCTTTCTGTTTCTTCCCCTTTTTTTTTATTACAAGAATTAGTAAGTGTAGCTGTACCTTAACTTTGCTATTTTTTCTTTCTAGGAAAACGATGGATTCTTTTAAACTGAAGGGGAAGGAGTCAGGCTTCAGTTGACTTTGATTAGCAAGAAAGATTTCTTCTGGATGAAGCACCGATCTTATTTCTTCCTCTGTAATGCTTGCAAGTGGCCTGGCTTTTATGCGGCAGTCAGTCTTTCTAGCATTCTGTTGCCACACTGTACTTTCTAATGAATTTTTCATGTGTTGTCTTTTTTCAGTTAACTCAGCCTTGAAAAGAGAGAAAGGCAGAGCTCTGCTTTCTCTGTAGCACCCAGAACCAAGCTATTTACTGTTTCCTGATGCTTCCTGTAACTTACTTTGAGCAGAACTGAAAATAATCCACAATTCAAAAATTCTTTTTCTTCATTTTGTAAGTGATATGGGAATATACCTTTAGACATCAAGAAGGGTAGAAGTCCCTTTTCTTCATTCTTAAGTATAAGGTGAAGTCACAAGTACAGTTAAAAGTGTCAGAGAAAAAATATGAGTAGTTGGCAGCTTCAGCGACCCTTTTTCATAGCTTAACGAAATAAACTTCTATCAGGAAAGGCTGAAGCTCTTAGAAGCATTCTGTGAAAGGACTGAAACTTAGGGTTTAGATTACCAGTGTGTGTCAATGTCTGTACTGTTCACACAGATTCCCTAAAATATTATTCAGACTGGTTTGGCAGCTTATGTGAAAGTAGTTGTGTTCTGTTTGCTTTTCTTTAACACTCTCCTAAAGATGTATATGAAAAAAAAAAAACCAAGCCACAAGCTTCTTTCTAAGAATTTGGGCAGCACCAAAGGGATTCTTGGCCATATGTTTTTGTTCTTGTTGATGCAAGCTTTTGGTGGAGGCATGTCATAAAAATATCTTCATTCCCCTGCTGCTCTCTAATTTCTACTTACTTTCTTTCTCCTTGTTAGAGAAAGCAGCACTCTTACAATCTCAGAAGATTCATATTTTTTAAAACTCTTGTTACTGACTGATGCAGGCTGAATGCCCACTGTCAACCATATGCTGCTGAAGCAATTGCTTCCCAGGAAAGCTTTCTGTTATTGGCTGTGCAGCAGCAGTGCTTCAAGTGGCTGATGTCATTTACTTTCTTCTTTTAATTTTTTTTAAATGGTGACTTTCTATCCATTTTCAGCGCTCTGCTTTGTACCCTCAGGGGTATAGCTCTGCTGAGCTTGCTTTAGTGGCCTTCTGGATCCAAACAGCAATGATAGGAGAAAGGAAACAATGATGAGTTATCCCCTGAGCTTATAGTGTATTTGGGGATTTATTTCTGCATTGGAATTTTTGCAGTGGGTATGGTAACAGCCGTAGACAGGGTTAAAATCCTGGCAAACAGCTCTGTTCGTTCAAATTTCCAGTAACATTCCTGTTTTCTAGAATAATTAAAAACTTTATCAGAAGAGATTTTATGTCTCTTAAGGTAAATTCCACACTTAGCTGTCCTTAATGGAAATGAGGCATGGGAGTCTGGGGATTTCCTGTATTTTTTTGAGGAAGACCCAAGTTTCTTTTTCAAGGGAAGACTATATGCTCTATTTGACATTTTTATTTCCATTCAAATATTTTGTTGGCATTCTTGTTTGTTTCCATTTCTGATAAATAACAGTTCTTTGTGAATCTCGATTGCTGCTTTATGTTTCTTAATTTTCTTCTTTTCAGTTTGCTTCATTAACATTGTCACAGATTCTCCAGCCTTCTTTCCCAATGATGGATCTAAATGCTTGCTGATAATGTATCTAACTTTATGATCATTAACTTGAAGGGAGGACAACCTAGCTCAGGAGGAGGTTCCTCAGGAGACTCTGAAAGTGTTGCGAGGTTTATAAATCTACCATTGCAATAGTGCTTAGAATTATTTGTTATCTAAATGTATGTATAATGCACTTAGCATGATATTTCTTTCAAAAGTTTTAAGCAGGTGAAGAGTGTGTGCCTATTTTCTGACTCTACTTAGAAATCATTTAGGCACCAAACTGCTTTATTTAGCAACAGTATTGACCCTGACAAAAATATCTTTCTGTTTAGAGAAACATTGATTTTTATATATTTATCCCATTCTCTTGGGCAGTGCATATGCTTGAATGAACCTCTTTGCATCCTTCAGCTTTGCTTAGAGATGTTCCTGAAGTGAGAGGTGGTCTGTTGTAAATATGAATAAGCAGGCATGCTATGTAAATTATTAACACTAAAAAATTGTAAAATTAATGTATTTTGCAGGCGAACTTGAAAGATCTGTGCAACTTAAAATTGAATAAATACAAAACAAATAATCAAGCACGTCTGTCCTTTGTCATGTCTTCAGGCAGATTTGTTTTTAGCATGACTTCAGTAATTTTTCTGGGTTTTTAAAGGGTTATTTGGTAAAAATTACAAGTTTGTCCTGCTGAGCTACAAAAAGCATCTTCAATAATTAGATTTGTAAAGGAGTTTAATCATACTTCATGCCATCTTTCCACTAGTTTGTCTGCTCAATCTGTACGTTTGTTGCCTTTGCCGATTTTGATTACAAAGAAGTGAAAACAGTGTCTTAGAGAGCTTTTCCTTTATCTTGGTTTTTTTTTCTTCAAGAATACCAACAAAAATCCCTGCCTTTCACAGTCTATGTACTCTTCTCCATGATGTTACATTGTATTTCTGTGGCAGAAAAATGGTTAACAAAGACTGATAAATTCACCTATTCACTTTCTGTTTCCTACCCTTTTAAAATGCATTGCTGCTTCTAGAGGGAGGATCTTGTATAAGATAGTACCTTAGAAAGATAAAAAATCGGTTTTAAAATACTCTTTCTTCCTGGAAAAACAGCAAATAAATGCTGTTTCCAGTCCTTGGAAAAAAAACAGGTTGGTTTGTTGGTAGTAGGTACTTATTTTCCACAGTATTCACAATCTGTAAAGCAGGTGGTGGTGTATTTACCTTCTTACTTCTCTGTCAGGAACTTAACTTTGGTATGGTGTTTTTGTTTGGTTTTTGTTTTCGATAACAGGGAACTTTTTGAAGTTAGGTTGTTGTAATGTTAAACTGATTTTTCAAAAAACTCGCTTGGCTGGGGGTTGGAAGTGTATTTATACTACTGAGTATATATACTGTATATATGCTACCATTTCAAATGTTGTAGTTTGGTCTGTAGCATTGTGGATACAGGCATCCTCCTCTCTTGCAGAAGAGTTGCAGATCAGAGTTTTCTGGGGTTTTTTGAGAGCTCTTTTCCATTGCTTTCCTGTTTGTAGGAACATATTTTTGCTTTTTTCCTTTTTTTTTTTTTTTCCTGAACACTTGTGTAAAGCACACTGTAGTACAGTGAGACCTCAGAGCTAGTTGCAAGCAAGCTGAAATGTCTAATCAGCAATATGCATGCCCAGGTCCCAGAAGGATTATAACTGTGTCAGTATGATGCTGCATCTGGGCTAATTAGCTCTGCCTCTCAGACCAAGTAATTAGCTCAGGTATCATGCTCGGCTGCTATGACAACCAGGCTGTTTCCATTTCTGGAGTTGCATGGATTTAGAGCTGACTTGAGTATCTGCATTGCTGCCTGCTTTTGCCTTCTGTTATTGATATAAAACAAACAGAAAACCCCACAAGCACTCTGACCTTTCTACATTTTAAAGGCGGAGAGCCATGCTTGGGGAATAAATTTCCGTCCTGTCCCGTCGTGTTCCCCCCCCCCCCCCCTGCCCCAAACCAGAAGCAATTAGTGGTTGAAACAGCCTCTTCAGCTGTGAAGGACAAACCAACCCATCGAGTCCATGTAAGAAAAGAAGCTTTCTTTCTTTTGCAGGGAGAAAAGGTCTCTCACATAGTTGAGGAGGAGAACTAATCGACTGCTTTCAAATATATAGTGAAATTATTCCCATTCTTTCTTTCCCATCCCTCTTGTCCCTCTCATTTCTTTTCTGATAGGTAAGTCAGAACCCTGTAGATTCTTAAGCAGATTTTCAGAAGTGGTTTGAGGACTCCTTCCACTGCTAGCCTTAACCTTTATCAGACAGCTCTGAGACAGCAGTTACTGATAAAACAAAACTGGTGGAACTCCCCTACTGTTAAATTCTTAACAGTATTGTAGCCTTCTCTGAATTGTAAGGAGCTCTCCATTTAAGTAGTTTTGTGATTTGGCACAATGAAGTTGTTTTTAGGAGTGCTTGGTGAAGGAAGGAGGGGAATTTCCTTTATATGATGTTTCTTATATCTTATTTTTCCCCTCAAAATCTTCTCTTTAAGGTCTTGTGTGGAATCAAACATTGAACAAATATTCAAGCTGCCACCACTTGCTTGCTGGTGTTGTTTAGGGTTAGTTTTTTTTTCAGTTGTGAATAAGCAGGGATCTGTGTATGGACTTGTCACCCAGTGCTTATAGCAGGACATCTTTATGGAATTTTGCCTTGTGAATCAGACACTTGGGGATCCACACACTCTTCCAGCTTGAGCCTTGAATCTCTAGTTGTTCCTCACCTATTCTAGTAAGATCCTCTGAAAAATTCTGTGATTGAATGGTGCAAACTGAGTCAACAAGTGCAGGAGTAAGGAGTTAGTTTGCTTGATTGCCAGATGCATGCTCATTTTGATTTTTATTAATGTTCTGTCCTCTTAATTAAGGGAAAGCTAATAGATTTCTGTT